CCCACGTGAATGTGTGCGGCCCTGGTAAGGCAGACAGGGCCCCAGGCTGGAGCAGCACACCACCAGAGGACCAGGCTTGGGGATCTGTGTGCACGGGAAGCTGTGGATTCCTCAGGGAAGCAGGTCTGGAGATATGTGGGAGAGAGGACTGCTGAGAAAGAATATGCCAGGTAAAGAGTGACTTCTGAGGAACTTCCACCAACCTAGCTAGTGCCAGTGCAGGGAAATGAGCAGGGCTGAGTCTAGGTGGTTTAGAGGAAGGAAACTGGAGTAACTTTTGGGACCAAACTAGTACACTGACCCACATGGGCGACTTGAGCTAGGATTGTTGGTTTCAACCACTGCCTACCAGCTCACACAAAAACCTGGCAGGCTCCACTACAATACCAACCAGTGAGTGTTGGGGTAAAGGGTAGACCATGTTAGGCAGGGCTATGACACTGACCAGCTCACGAGAAAACTGGGTCTGGGAGCAGATTCTGTGGGGGATCCTGAGCACACACCTGTGGGACTGCCATACCAGCTGATTTGCTTGAGGGCTGGGTGGTGAGGGACTGAGCTAGAATGACCATGGAACTCAACAACACTCATAGTTGTTGGGTTGGGAACAGGCCAGGCTGGTCCAGGCTGTAGCACTCGCAGGCACACCCATCCATCAGCTCACACAAATGCCGACACTGAGGCAGACTGCCAGGTAAGGACCTAGCTTCACTGGCACGAGTGGGCCTACTGAAGGAACTTGGGGAACTTCCCTGGTAGGCTATTGCTCCCACTGGTGAGCATGTGAGTCAGGACTGGGTTTTGTTCAGGCCAGGCAGAGCTGCTTCACTTGTTGGGAGGTGTATGGGTTGGCTCTGTAGGGGGCAGAACAGACAGGACCAAATCAAAGCACTGGCATGTGCAGGAGCCAGGATGGGGTGCAGGCCATGCTGAGCTAGGTTAGGCTATCACACCTACCAGGTTGCATGAAAGCCAGGGATGGGAGCAGACTGGGCAGGGCTAGGCTGCAGCACCCGCTAGTTGGGACTGAGGACGGGTCAAGTCAGGCCAGGCTGTAGCAGCTAATGGCAGAGGCCAAGCTGGGTGTTGGGTTATGCCAGACTGGGTCAGAGCAACCAGTGGCACACACAAGATGTGTGGCTGAGAGCGAGCTTGTTTGGGGACCTAAGGGGATACCACAGCTGGGCTGCACTATACCCACTAGTGAGTATGGCAGTTGGAATGAGGGTTGCAAACTGGGCTGGACATGGCTGCAGCATCCCTTAGCAGGGTGTGGACTGGTTCTAGGGTGTGTCAGACTGGGCTAAACTGCAGGATCCATTGGTGCTCACAAGAGCCAGGGTAGGTGTAGGACAGCTGGGCTAGGTCTTTGCAACCTCTGGACCATGCAAGAGCTGGGTCTAGGGGTGGACCAGGCATGACTTGACTGTAGTACCCAACAGTAAGAACTGGAATGGGTGTGGACTGCTTAGACAAGGCTACTATTCCTTCAGGACAGAATGCGGGTCAAGTCAGTTGGGGCCAAGGATCCACAAGTGTGCCCCAGATCTGCCACTGGGAGGAGACCTGATAGAGGAGCTTGGGGAATTTTTCTGTCAGGATGCAGTCCATGCAGGTAAGTGCAAGAACCAAGGCTGGGAGCAGCCCAGACCAAACCAGGTCACAGTACCTACTGGCATACTTGTGGCTTATATCTGGGGGCGGGTCAGGCTGGGCCAGCTCATAACACCCACTGGCAGGAGTGAAAACCAGGAAGGGGTGCAAGACTGGCCGGGTCCACATTAGGGCTGTGACTAAGGGCTGGCTGGACTGCACTAGGCTATTGCACCTGCCAGCATGAGCTGGAACTGGGCCGGGCTGAGCCAGGCTACGGTCCCTGATGGTGGATGCTGAGGTGAGGCAAGCCATTCCAGTATGGGCCTCAGCTCCCATCAGCACATGTAAGACTCAGCTGTGGCACTCTCCTGCTGGCAAGTGTGAGAACTGGGACTGGGGCCCAGCCAGGCTGGACAGGACTACAACTCCCATTGGCCTTCATATGAACTAGGTTAAGAGGAGAGCCAGGTTGGGCTGCCTATAGCCACTGTTGCAGGCATGAGCCATAGTAAATGCAGACTGGTTGGGTTTGCCATAGCACAAGCTGGCAAGTGCTAGGACTGGGGGCAAATCCTGTCAAGCAAATACTGTAAAAGTGTCTGGAAAGTACAAGATCTGAGGATGGCAATGGGCTCAGTAGGGAAACTGTGGGCACCTCTCCAATGGGCTGTAGCTTCCATGAGTGAGTATGAGAACCAGGGCTGCTGGTGGGCCTGCCTAAACAGGTTGTGGCACCCACCAGCATGAGTGTGGGCTGGATATTGGGGTTGATTGGGTTGAGCTAGGCTCCAGTGCTCATTGGTGTATATTAGAACTGAATGGGATGTGGGACAAACTGGATCAGTCTGCTATACATACCACCATACACAGGATCCAGGGCTGGGAGTGGGCCTAGAGGAGGTTATTGGAGGTCAGTCTGGCTAGGATCCAGTTTCCACTGCTGTACATGAGGGCCAAGTATGTGGTGGTTAGGGTTGGGCTTAGCCACAGCATCCATTGGTTTATTATGAGATGGGGCTGGGGACAGAGCTGATCAGGTGAGTAAAACTACCAGTGTGTGTGTGTGTGTAGGTTGATTTGCATGATAAACTGAGCTGTACTCCATACTGGCTGGCACACACAGGAGTCAGGTCTGGGGTCACCTCTGGTGAAATTTCTTTGGGGACCCCCAAATGGACCACCAGACTCAGAACTCCAACCACAGGGAAACGCAGGATCTGTGTGGTCTGACTGTGGAGTGCTCATGTCTGAACTGGGTCTCCTCAGTTGTTGAAGTCTGTGTAGTAGACAGCTCCACTTTTTTTTTTTCTAGTCTAAGAACTTCATTTCTTTTAAGTTATTTTTATTATTGTTTTATGATACAGTTCCATAGGCTCTGGGATTCCCCATCCCCCTCCTCAGGTCCCCCCACCACCCAAGTGATTTCCCCTCTAGTATTACAATGGTTGGTCCTTCATGAACCATCATATAAGTCCATCGTGCTATTAGTGAAGTGTTTCTCAACGTTGTGGGCATGGACAGTGTTGGAGAGTTCAGCATCCTACTGTTAGGATATTTTCAAGTGTTTTGTTGGGAATCCATCTTTGGTCTGGATACAGAGAGGCACAGTGCACTATGTCTCCACATGTGGACATGCCAGTCTCCGCTACACTTCTATTATACATCCCCATAAATACAGAGCCAGTGAACACAACCTACAACCGGGAGAAAAATAGTAAACTTTCATTAACATGAAGTTAAGGAACATGCCACAAAGATACCAGTGTGTCGCTAGAGCGATGAGAAAGAAAATCAAAAAACTTCTTGTAGAGATTGAAGCTACTGCATGACCCATGTGGTGCTGAAGGAATTACAATAAAAATTAGAACATCATTACCCGTGAGATGTCTGGTTCCACTTCTAATTCCAGCTTCTGCTAATACACATCTTGGGAGAGATAGCAGTGATAGTTCAAGTGGTTTACTTCCTGCCACTCACGTAGGAAACTGAGATTGGCTTCCCACATCCTGGCTTCCGGTTGTCCAAGCCCCAGCGATTGCCAGCACTTTCAGAATGAACCATCAGATGGAAGATCACTGTGTCTGTCTCTCCCCACACCCTGTTATGCATCTCTGTCTTTCAAGCAAAAATAAGGGAACCCTAAAAAGAAATCAGATTAATAGAACCCCTGTCTCAGCACATCAAAGCAAAATAATGAATGCAGAAAGTGGAATTTTCAGAAATGCCTTATTATATGTGATTCTTCCTAAATTGCGTATTGTTTCAAAGAAAATCTTTCTATACTGCTTCCTTTCTTTCTGTTAGGTATTTTTTTTAAAAGATCTATTTATTGGAAAGTCAGATATACAGAGAGGAGGAGAGACAGAGAGGAAGATCTTCCGTCCGATGATTCACTCCCCAAGTGAGTGCAACAGCTGATGCTTTGTCAATCTGAAGCCAGGATCCAGGAACTTCTTCTGGGTCTCCCATGCGGGTGCAGGGTCCCAAGGCTTTGGGCCGTCCTGGACTGCTTTCCCAGGCCACGCAGGGAGCTGGATGGGAAGTGGAGCTGCCAGGATTAGAACCGGCGCCCATATGGGATCCGGGGGCATTCAAGGTGATGACTTTTAGCCGCTGGACCACGCTGCCAGCCCCTCTGTTAGGTATTAATTAGAGAAGCAAGACCAGTGAGGTAGTCACATGGATAGGTGATAGAGAGAGATACAAAGAGCATTTCATTACAAGAAAATGGAATCCATGATTGTGAGAGCTGGCTAAGAAAATTCAAAATCCCTAGGCCGGAAGGGAGGATCACATATAGAAAGGAGCCGCATGGGCATGAGCCAATGCCATTGTCAACAAGCCGGCGGGAAGGGCGGCTGTAGTCAGGGGTGAGTGGGCGTCTACTCAGCTGCGCCTTAGAGTCTGACTCATGAAATAGCTAAGCCGCTTTTCAGGGCTTCCAATGATTAAGTCAAGTCAATCAGGATAATCCCCCGTACTTAAAGTCAATGTGTTAGATTTTCCCTATATCTTCGAAATCTTTTCAGTGCCCCCTGAAGGGATTTTTTTGTGCTGAATTGAATAACTAAGAAAAAGTAGCTATATACTACATAATAGCTACCACACTCTCCTCTGTCCTCACAGTTTAACTCAGGCAAGTTTGAGCATTAAAAACCCAGCACACTTTTGAAATGTAGTTAGTAAAAAAGAAACAGCTGTAAACATTAATAATATTCAAAATGCGAAAAAATGGACCCACGGATCAGATACATAGTAAAGCACTTCACGCTAAAGGAGCTATTTTTAGACTAAGATGCTCATGTGACTAAACTATATGTGTTTATGGTATTTAATTTTTTAATTATTATTTTAAAATTTATATGAATGAATAGGTTGCCTATTTTTCCTGATACAGATTTAGGAAAAAAATATGAAACTTCACCAATTTGTATGTCATCCTTGAACAAGAGTCACGCTAACCTTCTCTATCTCATTCCAATTTTGGTATATGTGCCATTGAAGCGAACACTACAGCAAAGAGGAATAGGGATTAACCCAGGAAATCCACAATATGATCAATTGGAGATCAATAAACAAAATATTATAATTTAATTTATATTGATGTATATGTCATTAACTTCAAACCGCATTTCATAATACACAATATCATTTTCTGCATGTGTGTATTTTTATATATATGTATATATACACACATAAATACACATACATGCAGAAAAGATTTATTAAAAGCATTGAGCATGTGATTGTAGGGGCTGCTTGTCTGTGTTGTAATTGAATCGAATTATCTCATACTTGCAAATACATTTTTCTGCACAGTCGTAAATGATTAGAAATGTTGTCAAACTTCATTTTTAAAAGAAGTTATTCATCATAAGGTGCTCTCACTACAGTATTTATTTTAACACACAGAAACTAGGAAGAGGAAGTAAAGGCTGGTGACTCAGCCACTAGAATCCTCTCAGCAGGAATCGTGATCATTTCACGCACTAGGTGAAGTGAAGCCCACTTACAGTTAAATAAATTCCCCTTCCTTCCGCACTGTCAGTAATGACAGAAGCCAAATACGCTTAATGTTGGTGTTAGTCTCCCACACAGCTTGCCTGCAAACATCCTTGCTAAATATTTCTGCCTCCTCAGAAAAGAAGTCATCTTGGAACAAGTGGTCTTTGTTGTCATGGAAACCAGATCCCCTGGCTGATGTCTGCCTACTCTAGCAATCAGAAGTGGAAATTAATTCACAGAAGCAGAGTCATAACTCCTAACTCAGCTACCTATGCCTAAGTCCATTGCAGGAAGGGGAGGAGAAAAGAAGACAGTACAGTGAAGGGTTTCATTCAATGAAAAGTGGACTTGGGATGCAGAGTTAAGGTGGTTAGAACATTCTTCAAACCATTCAACATAGACATCATTTCCTTTCTAGCCCGTAAAAACCTTCAATCTGGCCATAATGCTAGTGCTAGTGCTAGAAATTATTGGCCATGCAACTCCAAGTCCATAGCCACCCTTTGGGTGTCCTTTCATAAACTCCAGAATCAATTAATAAGATGTATACACCTGTGGCACACCTCTTATGTTTCCCTCCCTTCTTTGAGTGCCTCAAATCTCTATCCCATGGCAGGAAGGTAAGACCATGGACACACACAAAATAAATGGGTCACCTGGTATCTGATGCTGGCTTTCAGTGAGTCACATGAACTTCAGCTAAAAATCTCCACTTCTAAGACACCACGATGAATCTGTTCCTCGGGGAGTCAAGGTTGTTAGCTGGCTGACAAAATTAACATCTCCTTTCTGCTGCAGTTCTCCCTGTTTGCTTTTCCAGAGAAGAACCTTAAACCGTATCCCAATTGCTCATAAGCCTCAAAGTGCTATGCATGAATGGTGGAATGAGTAAAGATTAATGAGAAATGACAATGAAACTGTTAGAACTGAAATAAGAAAACCAACCGATAAATTTATTGTTCTATACAGCAGCCTCATAGAGATGGTATAATCACAAGGAGTCTCCACATCTGTCACAATGGGCTGTAGAAGGCTGTGCTTGCAGGAGCATGTTGCGATAGCATTAGGAGCAGAAAACCTAGTAAGGATGAGGGCACCGGGTTCAGGGGAAGGGAAAGCAGACACTGAGGCATAGAGTCTGGCACAGAATAGTGCAGATCAGTATTTGAGCAAATTCACATGGAGTCATCAGGAAAGCAAAATGTATACTCAGGATAGAAACAAAATGAAATCATGTACTGTATATTTTATGAGAGAGTACTTTTAGCACTGATGGAAACAAAACATGTATATTTTGGTGCAAAAAGCTTGGGGAATTTCTCTGTCAGGATACAGTCCCTGCAGGTAAGCACAAGAATCAAAGCTGGGAGCAGCCCAGACCAAACCATGTTACAGTACATGCTGGCATATGTATGAGTCATGTCTGAGGCCGGGCCAGGGTGGGCCAGTTCATAACACCCACTGGCAGAAGTGAGAACCAAGATGGGGTGCAGGACAGGCCGGGTTGGGCCACAGCACCAGCCAATTCACATTAGGGCTGGAACTAGGGCTGGTTGGGCTGAGCTGGGCTATAGTACCCACCAGCATGATCTGCGACTGAGAGCCGACTGAACTGGGTGAGGTGAGCCATGCCAGACTGGGCTGCAGCCGCAACTAGCACACATGAGACCCCAGGGCAGGAGAAAGCTGGTGGGGAGGGACCTGGTAGCTGGGCTGTGGGTATTTCCCCTGCTGGTTCAACTACTCACACTGGCAAGTGTGAGAATTGTAATCAGGAGTAGACCAGGCTGGGCTGGACTAACCGACTGTACCCACTGATACATGCATAGGCCAGAGTAAGAGCAGGCTGGTTGGGCATTGCTGCAGCATCAGCTGGCAAGTGCTAGGACTGGGGGCAAATCCTACCAAGCTGGACTGCAGAACCACCTGGAGAGGGTAAGATCCAGGACTGGGAGTGGGCCCAGTAGGGAAACTGGGCACCTCTTTTATGTGCTGAAACTTCCACTTGGTGAGCATAAGAACCAGGACTGGGGGGTGGACCTAGCTAGGCAGACAGTGGCACCACCTGGCATGAGTGTGGGCTGGTTAGCGGTGTCAATTATGTTGAACTAGGCCTCAATACCCATTGACATGTATGAGAGCTGAATGAGATGTGGAACAGACTAGGCCCATAGTGGAAGTTATTGAGGGTCGCTCTGACTAGGCTGTAGTTTCCACTGGTGTATGTGAGGGCTGAGTGTGTTGCGGGCAGGACTGGGCTAGGCCACATTATCCATTGGTTTATGTAAGGGGTGGGTTGGAAACAGAACTGACCCAGCAACTGCCATCACCAGTGTGTGCGTAGGCTGATGTGGGGGACAGACAGAACAGGACCCGGTACTGACAAGCACATATAAGACTCAGGTCTGGAATCACTTCAGTCAAGGTTTCTTTTAGGATTCCACCAACTGAACTGCTGGACTCAGTTCATTTGGGGAGAATTATAGGATCTGTCTTCGGACCACGGAGTGCATGTGTCAGAGCTGGACCTTTTCAGTGGCTTACTTCTGTTCCAGCTCCCTGATTGTGTGCTGAGAAAGCAACAGAGGATGGCTCAAATCTTTCGGACCTTGTAGCTGCATGGGAGACCTGTAGCAAGTTCCTGGCTTCAGATCAGCTCATCTTCAGCTATTGGCAGTCATTTGGGGAGTGAACCAGTGGATGGAAGATCTTTCTTTCCTTCTCACTGTAACTGTGCCTTTCCACTGAAAATAAAGAAATCTTTAAAAATGCATTTCTTTAGTTTTATTTGAAAAGCAGAGTTACAGAGAGGATTGACAAAATTTTCATCTACTGGTTCACTCCCCAAATGGTCACAATGGCTGGAGCTGAGCCAATCAGGAGCCAGGAGCTTCTTCTTGTTCTTCCATGTGGGTACACACACATGCGCGTCTGTGTGCGTGCATGTCCATATGCATACATATTTATATATCCTGGTATATACATATCTGTGTATGTATATAAGTGTGTGTGTGTGTAAAAAGAGATTCACTGTGAGCGAGTGGCTCATGTGATTTTGGAGGCTAAGACGTTCACAATCTGCTGTAGTGAGATGGAGGCCCAGTAGAACAAGTGCTGAAGCTTCACTCCAGTCTTTGAACTTGAGGTGTAGGCAGTGATGTAAGTCCCAGTTGGAGTCTGACGGCGTGAGAAGTGGAGTGATGTTAATGTAAGTTCCTGTCTGAGTCCCAAGGCCCAAGATCAAGGAACATTGATGTCCCAGGATGGGAGAAGTTGGATATCCCATCTCAGGAAGAAAGAACAAATTCCTCCCTCTGCCACATTGATGGAAAAAGTGGAATATCATGATTATTTCAGTCTATCTGATTACTACTGAAGAACAATATTGTTGTACATATTAATATCATTGTTCATGTGCTTGTGCTTTTGTATGTGTGTTTCTTGGGAACAAGGTGTGAAAATATATTCCATCACATCCCCATATAGTTGAGCAAATTTATATACACCTCAGTGTGAACAATGAAGGCCACAATAGTTAGTTGGAATAATAATATGGCAATAGGTTATGTATATTCTGGGATCATGTAAGGTAAAATTTTCTTTCATTCTAATTTCCTGTCCTTCCTATGTCATCATATTTTCTTGCTATGAACTTTAGCTGCTATCAAACTTTTTATCAACTGAGTCCTGCAATGTATTTCACTATATTGTTGTGCTGTTTTGCTCATTTTGGAAAAAGCATTGTGTAGTTATTTCCAAATGTTCATTTTCCCAGATAAGATTAAGTGTTGTATGGGTTTGCTCTTTTTATAACCTAAGTGGAGTGCACTTTTACTCCTATTCTTATGGGATATATGAAAAAAAAAAACTATGATACAGAATGTTGAGAAACATTCTCAGGTTCATACAGTAAGTAGCATGATTGGACTTGTCTTTCTGAATGTCTGAACAGAAAACTCAGATAGGAAAACATTCTATTTTGTTTTCTTCATGATAAAGTAGAAAGCTTGGAGACTTAGTTCTTGCGGTATGTCTCTAACCATGCTTCATTGAGTCAAGGATGGTAATCTTATTCAGAATAATGATAAGAAGTATTCTGCCTCACTCTGTACTTTCGCTATGAATCTGATGAAAACTAGAGTGATTTTTGCCGTGCTTTAGAGTCATCCAAGTGACTGAATCTGCTTGATACTCTTTGGATAAGCTGTGTCATAGAGCATTTGTGTTCTCTGACTTCATTCATTTGAGTGTGCCATGTGGTCAGTTGATTTGCTTAACTTTAACTTTTTGTCATCCTAAAACATCTGATTCCTCTTATGCTTTTTGAGCATGTGTCAGTTTTGCATTACATTGCATATCATTTACATATTACCATATTGATGCTGACCAGAAAAAGTAATGGGCCTTCCTGGTGTACCCCAGTAACTATTTTATTTTTAAAGATTTATTTTCATTGGAAAGTCAGATATTCATAGAGAAGGATAGACAGAGAGAAAGATCTTCTTT